AGTTCTCTAATTCTTTTTAAAAATAAGAAATTCATGCTTTCTGAATTAATCTATGCCTGCATTAAAACATGCAAAAATTACTATCTCGGTGGCTTCAACAGAATTTTTCTAATTGGAGAGTTTTTTGAAACAATTTCTACTTCTGGTAAAGTACACCTTACTGAACATTTCCCAATAATTTTGTATGAAAAAAAATAATTCTCATCCTCATAGATAGAAAATTCTCTGTTCTTCCCTTACAAAAAGTTCAAAGTGCTTTTTCTGAGAACAAATTTCTACTGAAGCTTAAATGTAGTAATTGCATCGACTTAATTTCAATCAAATATGAAAAAAACTAAATATTTTTAGAGAATGACAAAAAGGATCAAGAACTGTTTTTCAGAGAAATAGAATTTATCAATGGATATAGTTTGATGATCAATGATCAAATATTAGATGATAAAATTGATAATATTAAGAGTACCATCAATATAACTAAAGATTTAAAGAGTAAATACACTCATATTAAGGATAGAAACTTGGCTGAAAAAGAACAAAATGAAATGATAGAAAATTTTCGTGATTTTTAAGAAATTATCCCAAAATTTTCTGAAGGCACGATATGTTTAATTTTTTTCCTACCTAAATTGTAGTTCTGAACTATTTTACAGCCATAAATTTAATTCTACACACATAATAAAAGGTATCAACAAGACCTACGTTTATTCTGAAACAACTGGTGATTTTCATGAATCAAATTCACAGCCTTTTATCTTCGAAAACAAAAATGAAATTTTTTTGATTCAAGGAATGAAAATCAGAACGATTAAAGAAATTTTGAAAATTAGAAATTCATTGCTTAAATCAGAGGAATGAATTGATGGTTATGAAAATTCTGAATCAAATGATCTTATTTATCAAAAGAAACAAATTATAAGTTTTAATACATCTGATGATAAACTTATGAATTTAATTTATTTCAAATGGGAAAACAAGGGAGCTTTAAAATTTGATTCTAAAAAAATTATTTGTTATTTTAAAGATTTGTTTGTTTTGAAACAAAATTTAGTCAGTGGGCAAACAAAATTGATGCTTATAAGAAATGATGCATCAATTTATGCTAATGGAAACAGGCAGGACCGTCCAAAGAGACTTCTGTATGTAGAGGATGAAACTCTTAACAATAAAAGAAATAAAGAGCAGGATCACCCGAAGAGACTTCTCTATGTAGAGGATGAAACTCCTAACAATAAAAGAAATAAAGAGCAAGATCATCTAAGAGACTTCTCTATGAAGAGGATTCTCTGTGGGATACTTCACTCATTTCGGGTACAATCATTCATTTTTGTACAGTAGCACCATATTCATTTATTTTATGTATCAGGAAATATATATTTTTTGAATTAATGCTTGTAGAAATAGTAAAAAATAAGCTTAAATTTGCATAAATATAAAGTTAGAAATAGCTATTCATGCAATTACAACATTTGAAGACGAAAAAGAAAATATCTTATTCAGTATTATTATGCAACGAACAGATACGAAGATATGTAATTCTACATAAAACGTTTGTACATAAAGACACATTGCATGTGTCATCTAATGATCCTCTTTACACCTTCCTAGAATATGCATGTGCTAACATTTCAAGCTCCACAATCATAAAGAATTGCATGAAAGAAGTATGTGGGAAATCTAATTTTCTTAAAAATCCTACGGAACCATCTGAAAATTTCAGCAACCAAAATCTTCATACAAATTTGAGTACTTTTGTTCAAGATATGGAGAATAATTTTAACAACACATCAAGTACTTTCTATGAACCTCATTTCCAATGTACTTATATAAATTTTTCAGATCGAACAAACATTGATCAATTCAGGTATCAATATCAATCTGATGATAGTGTTTACTTTATCAAATATTGTTTTTAGAGATCATTCTATATTGGTGCAAAATAATCAGTTAGAAATATCAGAAAATAGTGAAAAACTGAATATCAAAAGTTCTATTCCAAAAATACTTTATAATAGTTGGCTTTCTTGGTATGTGTCAGAGATATTCGCTCAGACGGTCGACAAAGGCTCGAACACAGGAACAGATTGTCTTTCTCTGCCGGCAGGAGGTGTAGTTCTCTACGAAGCCACTCCGTGTGCGCTTCTCACTGACACCTGACCCCTGCCACCTCTGCCGGCCCTTTTATTGATTGGACATGCAAATTACAAGTAATATATCAGAAAAACACTCCCATCTTCATTAACATGCCGCACCCCTGGGCGGCCCAATTGGGCCACCCCTCAGCAGACCCCCTAAGACAAAGGATTCCCATAGAACCAGCACCAACATCTATAAACTAACAAACACGTAGACATTTTAACGAGCGACGTCTCCCTGAATTAAGACGTCGGTCACCCGGCTCATGACCCTTGCTCATGACGGAGCGTACAAGCACTCCCTTCCGTCCAAGGTTAAATCTTCCTTTCTAAGTTGTCAGTTAACAGACGCCAGTGTGTCTACTAGTGAGGGTTAAATCTTTTCTCTCTGAGATAAGGAGCGCATGGTCAGGTACCAGGCACTCGGGTCCTCACTGCTTCTCTGTGCTTCTAATATGTGCAAGATGTTCCGAACACAAGCATTTCGAGGTCAATCAGGGATGCAACAAGATGAAACTTTAAAACATGGCAGCATTGTACTTTCTATTCTAACATTCCGTCCTCTTGACAAGTTTTAAAGTAACATCAAACACCAGTTCAACAGCGATTGCGCGAGTAGGGAGAAAAACTGTCCTGGAAAACCCAAAGGAGTGTATATAGTAGTATAATCGTACATATTGAGTATATAGGGATAAAATGCAGGACAGAAACCCTTTCTCCCGCAATAGCCATGCATAAAATAGGAAACTAAGATACATCGTCTAATTTTTCCGGTCCAATACATGTATAAGAATAAAAAATAAACCCGGAAACATCAACCATTCACAAAATGTGTTCCCATTGGCACTTCTAATTATGGAACACCAAACGTTAGAGTTGTGCATTCACATAATGCTTTCATGACAGTTTCCGAAACATCATGGTCACTTGGGAACAGTTCAACTCATTTTGAAGACACGTCAACAATAACATACTATAAAAAAGTTTTTTTCTGAAAAATATGTAAACCCACATGTGTGCTCTGCTTAACTTTAAGTGTTGAATTCTCATCACATCATGGGACTGGAGCAACTATTATGACAGTCATAATGGTTAGGCATAACATTATGAACGTTAGCTCACAAACATGTAGAACACAACTTCCCATTTCCACCCCCCCCTTTTTTTTTTTTTTTTTTTCTCTTTTTACGTCAGGGGGAAGAAACACTACTGACTCATGTTAATATAGGAATGATACAATCACGAAAGGTGGGTATTTCTGCCCCTTGCGTAAAAATTTGAAACAAAGGAAGGTTGAAGCAATTTGATCCTTGTATGATGGCAAAGTCCAGACACAAATTCCTTCCTAGCGGGACCTGATGGGGTCGCAAAAGAACACACTCGGGCACTGTTAATCACTCAAGGGAGCGGGAGATACAAACAACCCACTTCAGTCTTTGTTTTACGAGTTTAAACAGATGTTCCTGTCGGAGTGTGGTGCCAATAGTTCTTGCAGTGAGACTAAAATTTCTGACACCGGTTTCGTCTTTCAAGAAGGATTGAAATCTCTATTCATCCTGTGCGGTCTTTGTCTCCTGCCTCGTGGCGTTGGGCCTCGCCAGAATTTATTCTATATGAAGGCCCCTATACCCTTCGGGACTGAATTCAGCCCCCTGATGATGATGATGATGATGATGCCGATGATGCATAGGCAACACTTGACTGCCCTTCCTGGGCTCTGCTCCATTTTCCTGAGAGGGTTGTGTTTACCACGGAAAGCCCTCTCTCCTACTGTGGTCTTTCGACGGTGCGCGCGCTGGGCGCACTTGAACTTGGGTGCTGGTTCTCCTCCGTGGGACTGGCGTCGCTAGGGCCCCCTGATAACGTTGTCTTGATTTCACGTCCAGTCGTCCTTCCGAATTTCACTTTGAAGTTGGAGATGCTCCAGGGGCCGTGCTTCCCTCTCAGATGGACAGCATGACCGGTCCCTTCCAGCACTTTGTTGGGTCCCATCCATCTCGGCTGGTGCCACTTCCACTTTAGGACGCTCACATACACCTGCTCGGGATTCGTCTATGGTTTCAGGCCAGCACATCCGAGATGCTCAGACCATGGTCTAGTCTGCTCCTGAAAATGAGGGATGAGAATGCTCAATGAGCTTATGTCTGCTTCATGGGGAATCATTTGTTGAAGAGCGCCCGGGTCCGTGGATTGCCATGGAACGGGTAGCTCCTGGTTACATTCTACCTTTAAAGGTGTGAATCCTGTGGCGGAATTAACGGTGCACCTCAACGTTAGCAGCGCAATTTGCAGCGTCTCATGCAAATTTAGTTATTCCAAGGTCACCACCAAAGAACATTTTCAATCCAAGTCTAAGCCTCTGATTCGTTGGTTCGAGCTTCCCTTGAATTGTGGATAAAGGAAAAAAAACAAAAAAAAAAAACCATGCCTCCCAAATCGGAGTCTTCAATTTAGAAGTCGATACAAACCAGTCTCATTCCTCGCCACTCCGTCTGGAGTTCTCCTCCTTGGGAGATGCCCTCTCCCGGTCTGCAAGAAGGTGGTTAGGGTGGAAAACATGCATTCTCTCATTTCTCCTCTCCGTAAAAATTATCCTATTCACATCGGCTGAATCAATGTAGGCGTTAACCTCCAACCACTATGCCCCTTCTAGTGTCCTCAAAACTGCTACCAGCTCTGTGGGCTGTCTGTTTTCTCTTAATTTTCGAATTTTCTTGGACCTGTAATTGTTTTGATGGATGCCCATCATCAACTACTACCAGACGAGTTGAAATCAGTCGTGCTGTTGGATGCCTAAAGCGACAACTGTCTGTGAATTTGTTATAATCTGGTTAAAATATTAGCGTGGCAAACAAGCCCCCTCTGACTTTTCTTCCCCAGTTTTTTTTATTTTTTATTTTTGTGGGAGGAAGGGCAGCGCAGCATCGAGGTGTTGAGTTTAGCCTTCATCCATTCCATCTGCCGCACTGATCCCTTCTGATTCGTATGTCAGAGCGGGTTCATGTATAGTCTTGTCTAATTTCTCAGTTCATTCTACTGACATTGTAAACATTTTCGAACAGACAAATGCAGCCTCTGTGACAAGTAGGGACCATTTAAGGGACTGTCTAACACAACATGACCAACTTTTTGTAAATAATTTGCCTAATACCGCCCTACGTCTGACGCATGCTGAATCTCTCGTGTTTGATATGAGTCCAATTGCATACTGACGTAGGTCAAAATCCGTCATCCACTTTCCCCCTCTTTTTCCTGAAGAATAACAGTAGAAATAGGGTTTTCTTCGTCAAATATATCCAAACAAAGCAGCTTGAAGCAATCAGGCTGCACGAGAAAAGCCGACAGCGCTGTGCAACTCTCACAAAAATATAATAGCGAACACATTGTAATTTTACCTCTCCGTTTGAAACCCCCCCAAAAAGGTCAAACGAGCCACTTAGTGGCCTCCGAAGAGCAAACCTCAAAAAGTGTCGCAAGAAGCTCATCAGTGTACCGAATGAGTACAATGCCGTTTGGAGTTTGGCAAGAGATGCGCAGCGACTTGACTAAAAAAAAAAATTAAGAAACACATTATTTTACCACCAAGACGAGTGAATGAGAAATACCCCCATATGATTCTAAAAGCATAATGCGAGAAAAATGTGTTGGTCAAATTCACCACGGGAAAATGTATGCAAAAAACGATTTTCAAAAAATTTATGTGAAAAATAATTTTCATTCATTTGAGTAGACGGCAAACACATTACGTGAGGAGTTTCAAACAATGTCCAATTGAGAACGTGCCTACCCTCTTTACCATTGGTTCCAATTCCTTAGCTAGAGGAGTAGGATTCAATGCGAGAAAAATGTGTGTTGCAGTCGTACTGTACGATACCAGTCATTGAGATCATCTGACAGGTCCACTCCGGCTGGCACACCCTCCTCTGAACCTATGACAATTGAGGAGTAGGGAACATTAAATAAATTGCCTTGTTTTTCAATCAACCAGGCCATGCGATAAAACTTTTCTCTCTAGTCTGTCAAAAGCATTGTGCAGTGGGGTGGGGTCATTCGGGACTGTAGGGCAGTACGGGAAGAACCATGGAGGCCCAAGGCTGACACAGGTCACAGAGTTCGGTGGTGGATCATCTACTGACGTTAGCAACAGTCAGCTTTGTGTTGGCGGTGAGAATTGTTCATTCGGCAGTGTGACTTTCAGTCTTCTGGGCAGCAAGCCGGGAGTCTTTTGGCTCTGACGAGCAAGTTGCAATCCAGCATGTTCAGTTCAGCGGACAGTCTTTCAGTGAAGCCAGTGGTGACCCCCGTTGTTGGGGCGTCAGAGTACCCATGTGGCTGTTGGGCCTCATCCACGTGTGGGTGGTGTGGCTTGTCAGTGGACAGTCTTTGTGGAGGAGTCGGAGCTCGTAAATCAGAGTGTGATTGCCAGACAGGCAGATGTAGGAGCGCAGGCATTCCAATGTCCGTTTGATCTCACCACAGTGGAGGGGTCAGCTTGGTCCCCAATGACCCCCACACTGGCCCACATGCCCTCCTAACCCCCCCCTCCACAGCCATGCTGTCTTGGCCTCCTTGTGGGCTTGGAGCTTGGGTGGGGGTAGGGTCAGCCATGGTGGAGCCTGTACAGAGACACTGATTCATATTCGATTAGATTTCTCAACTTTCTCTTTTTTTTTATTTTTTTTTCATGCATTACTGGAGACCCTTGGCCTCTTGGAAGTGCAGTAAGTCATTCTGTAGCTTCGATGATTTCTCAGTCACTGTCTTGGCTTCTAATTCGGGATTGTTGCATATAAAATAAGAAATAAATTCGCCAATTCGCGTCATCTGAGGTGGGAAAAAGTGGGAGAATTAGTCATCATACTTCAAACATCAGTTCACAAATTGAAATTGGTGGCCACAGATTAACAATAGCCATCAAGTAAATCAATAGTTGAATCAAGTTCAAAAAGCCTCAGTCCCTGATCACACAGTAGCACAGCAGTCATCAGTTCGAAAATACTATTTTTATTTATCCAGTCATTCTGTCCTTTGTATTTTCCCTAATATTATCAATTGTCAATAACTAGTCTTGGGCAAACTGAGGGAGCTCAAGGCACAGTGGAATTGGGTGGGGGCTGCTGAATTGCTTGAACATGTGCCCCCCCCCCGCCCCCCTCCTTTCCGTCCGGTGGAGGAGGCACTGTGCTCCCTTGATTACCAGAACTTCGGTTTCGTTATTTTATCAATCATTTTCCTTTCAAATGTGGACAGTAATGGTCAAGCTGTCCATTCAACGCACTATAGCCTTAATCGCATCCCAATTAGAATTGACCGCTCTTTTTTGGTCTTCAACTCTTGCCTTATTCTTACAAATTATTCTTCGAACCTAGTGTTCACTTTACATATTTACTTCCGCTACTTCTTTCAATCTTTACAATCATGACATACAAAACTCACTTTTCAACACACTCAATCCAACATTGTCTACTTAGCTCATCTTCAATTTCCGAACCGTCAGTACTCACCACCTGAGAACAAATCTCAACTTCTGTGTTCTTTCAAACAGCCTGTTGCAGACATGTGCACATTTTCAGCATGACATCTTTGATCCTCTGTCGAAAAAGAGACTCTATTCCTCTCCTCTTTCGTCAACAACTGCTTCAAAAACAAAGTGTATGCAGAAAAGCGGTCAAGACTGCCCCCCCTCCCCCTCCTGTGATTGAGGGGGGAGAACTTGCAGCACGCAAAGAGCAAATTTGGGAACAAGTTGCCTCGAACCTAAAACAATCATTCTCTTCACACTTCTACTTTCAAAAAGAGCCTCCCATCCTCCAGCCCCCCTCTCTCTCTGGGGGACTGAAGTATCCTCAACGCCTTTTTCTCCTCTCCCTACATTCTGGCTCCTCATCACGGCCGTCAAACATCATCATATATATCAAATATTACAGGATATAAGCGCAAAAACACAAATAACGTGCACAAATAACATGCCCAGATCAGAAAACAATTTCTGACTACTCATTACACTGCTTACTTCACTTTAGTGTATATTGTCTCTCATAAGAAACGTTCTATATGTGCCAATGTCACATGAGGATTCCAACAGAATGCCATTCATCACTAGTGTAATTATCGGTGTCTCTCCTTTTATTATACAGAATACAGAATTATCATCATTACTCATATGTATCTTAACTTGACCATTCAAATCAATACCTACTTAACATTTGGACCGTCCAACTGCATTTTAAACAGTTTCCTTGCCTTCGGGGCTCTGTCCAACTTAAGACTCACCAGTTTACAGTATTATCATACGCAATATAGTATCAAATCTACCTTCCGCTGAACCCTTACAGTTCAATAAACATATAGTTTAATAAACTTCAACATCAGACTAAATTTATTCTGTTTCATGAATAAATATATTGAATTACATCGCATTATCGATTTGGTATTTGCCACCGACAAGCATTCATTCATGATCGTCAATTCGGCACCTCCAGACTCAGGGCAGTTTGATTTGATCGGTCCTTGTTGGACTACACCACATTCCGACACTTCGCCCGCCAAAGCAGGAACAAGGGTGTCGTCGCCTTTTTTAATGCGGGGCCCCTAAAACTGCCTGAAATCCGAGGATCCCGAAGCCACTTATAGGTCTGTTGTTTTTTATTTTTTCACTTCCTCATTCTCTCTGTCTGCATAGTCGCTTTACGTGGCCTTTTACGCCACAACGAAAGCATCTACCCTCTTTCAAAAGCTTGCGTTCGTCAGAAGTGAATTTGGAGGAATCGGACGGCTTTTTATGTTCGTTTGTTTTTTTACAAGGACTTTTGGTGCTTTGGTTCCCCTCGGCACAAAAAACATTAATTACTTGCACAAGCCGGATTGATCCGTCATCATCTATTCCAGCTAATCGTGTGTTTTCGACGGACGTTTGGACTTGATCTTGACGCACTGTCGCCTGTTGCGACATGTTTAATCGCAAGGAATCAGGGAATGTCCGCGCATCCATGTTGGTGCCTAGCAACAAACGAAAGTATTCACGGGAATTTACAGAAAGTTGCTCTCTCTCTCCGGTATGTTTTGTCAAAATAAAATGCTACGTACCCACGCCGAATTAAATGTTCACTATTACTATCGAACCGGAGGGCAT